ATTCCATTCCATTCTTGGACTAAAAATACTAGGCAGCCTAGAACGTCTCAAGATAGCAAGCAATTTTTTTGGCATTTATCTGATTTTCTCCCCATTTTAGTCCCCAGTTCCACTCACTAGTTAGGACTCCCCCATGATAGAACAAGCGCTATGAGGGTGAAGGGTAGCACAAGCTTTCTCTGAGTCATGTGAAGCCAGTCACTGCATTATTTTGAACACAATGACACAACGTCATTGGACAGCTGAACACACTTGGAGGGGAACACTAACCACCAGTTCTGTTACATCAGAAAACAGATGCCTGGGCTGGCTAGCATCGTGCTGAGTGATGGGGGGAGAGGGAAGGTTATGCCCACCCAGGGAGAGCAAGGCCAATCGTGCTGTCTTGGACTTCTGGCCATGAATGGCTGTAGCATCACCAGGGATCAAACTTGCTATCTCCTGATGATAGGGCCAATGGTTAGACGGTTGTGTTCGCAAAATGCCGGTTGCCATTTCAAAAAACATCTGCGTTTATCTTGGCAATCCACTGGCAATGGGTGTCTTGGTTTCGTGGATATCGATGGAAAGACAAGCCACGATCACATTCTCGTCTTCGATAAGATGTGCAGCCTGGTACTCAGCAATATGCTATGCTAGCATCACTGCCTCAACTCGTTTTTTGCTTCATTTAAGCACTGCTACAAACTGTTCTTACAACACTTTCAAAATTCCTCCCACCACAGCCTCGTTTTCCCGCAAGAAATTCTCAGAATGGCGACCGGCATGATATAAGCACATTGTGGTGAATCTGGGTTAGAACTGAACCCTGTGGGGAGGCAAATCTGTAGGAACATGGTTGGAGACCTCTGTCCTGGAGGGGTGGACCATGGGTCATCAACCTTGGTACTGAAGATCTACCTTCCTGTGGAGTCTAGCCCCACTACAGTGTGCCACTCCTGCTCCAGCTGAGTAACTTCTTCAAATGTCCCTAATAGGCTGGATCAGATGTACCAGTGTGAGGTAAAGTTAGGGGTGGTTATTAGGTGCAGGTTGGAACTATTTTGTACTGTTTTTATTTGCCCCTTTACCCTTCTGGAAACAGGTTAAAAAAATCACTGAAGGGCTACGTGGCTAACAAGTAGCATGCTGTACCAGTTCTCTAGTTGCCTTTGGATTGGCAGTCTGCTAATTTGAATTGTTATGTCATGCTAATTGTTAGCCAGTTAACGCTCTAGAATTTGTTTTCTCACCTGGTTCATGTAGAATAAGGGAGAAAAAATCAGCCGCCCCTTATGGTTGGAGCTGGTATAGCATGCTAATTGTTTGCCATTTGCAAAATCTTTGTTTTTTCATATATATATATATACACACACTGAGCAGCCACTTCATTAAGTACACTTACCCTGTAGCTACACAGCATGATTTGTTTTCCCTGTTACCATGTCCTTAAGCAGAATTAGTTGGGTGGTGGATATTTTTGTTTGGTGGACTATTCTCAGTCCAGCAGTGACACTTAAGTGTTTAAAAAGTCCACCACCACTGCTGTGTCTGATCCACTCATACCAGCGGAACACACACTAACACGCTTGAAACAGGTGTTGGATTGGGGAAAAGACAAAACTGTTGTCACTTGGTCTGGACATAGACATTGGGCAAGTAAGCTCTCACCTGCAAACCTGCACTCTCAGTGCTATCATGTGGTTACTCAGTATCTGATAACTAACTCAGGAGAATAATTAAATCACTAAAGACATTTCTTTAGTGACACAGACTTGAAAACATTTCCATTTACACATTTAACAGATGCTCTTATCCTGAGCAACTTAATCTTATTACAGAGGATAGGAGTCTCGCCTAAGGACTCTTACTGGTATAGTGTGATGTGCTTACCCAGGCAGGGAATTGAGCCCTAGGCTGCTGTATGGAGGGCTGTGGTGTTACCCAGCCACTCATTTAACATCTAAAACTAGAAATGTAAGCTCTGTGATAGTTCCAGTGCATTATCTTCTTCACAGTCCTGGCAAAAATAATTGTGATTTGCTCATGTAATTATTATTTGAGTGTTTCACATTTCTGTACACTCTACAGCAGGGGTCACCAATTCCAGCACAGTGTGGTGATTTCCCTGCTCAAACACACCAGCTAAACCTGGTAATTAACAGATGAGCAGGAAAATCACCAAACTGTGCTGGACTCTGGCACTCCTGGACTGCAAGCGATGACCCCTGTGATTTGGTAGACCACATCCACCCTATAATTCAGTCTTGAGTATAAGCTGTCAAAGTATGTATGTTTACTGGTCAAAACAAATCAACATCCTCCAGAACACCTCAATGTTCTTGCTGAACTGATGAAATGAAGAACTAGTCTCATCAATAAGGTTGAGAAAGTGTCAGAAAATGTCAGGAAGGTGTGTTTGTTGCTTTTGATCTTAAATTTGTTGGACTTGTCTCAATTCCAAGGGACATCTGAACCTGCTATACGTTCACAGTGGAATAGAGTGCAGTGGAATCTGATTCGTTCCGGTCAGCCTGGGCATGAAATAGTATCCAAAAACGCTCCACTGACGGTGCTAAAGCCCTGCATCCTGTGTAATATCACAGCTTATCCACCACCCAGATATGGGCTGTAAATTCAGAGCTTTTAGCAAGACTGACTATGCAAGACGAACTTGGCTATATTACGGCGAAACGCATACTGAAGAAAATGTATCAGGAAAGGAAAAGAAAATGTATCAGGAAAGAAAAGAAATTAATCTTCTGTTTGAACAATCCGTTCACTCCAAAAGGTTAGGCCTGATGAAAGTTCAGGTAGTACTACAAATCCAAGATTACAATTTCTTGGAAATCAAGACTACCTTAAAGGAATAGTCCCATGCTTTTCAACCTTATCTTTGTCTACCACATCTATATTGTATGGTCAGTTACCATGGACAATAATTTTGACATTTTTCCCAGCACTTAGAAAAGAACAGGAAACCTGTTGATTCTAAACATATATAGAATAAAAGGGGGTGCATGCTGAAGCCCTGCTATTGTAAAAGTAAGAGCATGAATTGTAGCAATCCACTGGTACTTCCCTGTGAGTTCCTCTCAAATTCAATTAATCATCTTTAGAAAGGTTGTGACTTTTCAGCAAAACTTTCAAGAGTAGGTTCTGGTCAATGAGTTTGCATAACCTAAACCCCATGTGTCAAACACACGGCCTGCAGACCAGATCAGGCCCACAACACAATCCCATCTGGCCCTCAAAAGTATTTTAAGTTTCTATTAATATTAGCCTGTTTCACAATGCGCCGCACCACAGTCCCCAGCATGCACTGCAATGTAATGTGCTCGGACTCTCCTACCCCAACAACAGTCTATGGGACAGCTATTACACCTCAATGCTACACAATTACATACCTGTCATATCACCAAACACACTAACTGCATTTCAGCTGCAGTTCAACCAATACAAACACTTAACGTCAGCTCAGCAGCTCAGAAACTGATCCAAAGTATTAATGAACTTGCAGCAAAGAAAGGAAGTCAGGGGTCTAGTTCAAGCAGACAGGTGGGCTTAAAAGACTGAGCTCCTGGGGACAATTAAATTTTGAATATTTCAAGTATTTATGTAATATTTTAAGGTTTACTATACGTGCCTATATTTTACTGCTGACGTTTGACTAAACAATGGCCAGTTCGGGTTATAGCACAACATGGTCCACAGATTTGTTGAGATTTTTTTAATGTGGCCCCTTTAGTGGTTGAGTTTGACACCCCTGACCTGGACCATCTCACACCCAAGAACTACTGTTCCTATAAGATGTAGTCGAGAACTATTGAAAGCCTGCGATCAGAGAACTATGTATAAACCATTTCATGCCAAAATTAGACTTATATGCCATTATTATATACCTGCTGAGCTAAAGATCACAGCCAGAAGCACAATTATCCTGGTTAAATATATCTGTCTGCATGGAAAAAAGGTGCAAATGTCAGAAAGTGTCCCTTGAGAGCAAAACATCAGCATAAAATATCCTGGTATGTATAGATGCATACCACATGCTAAGATAAGCATAAATATCTTCTTTGTCTAAATAATTACAAACAGATGATCAAACCACATTTTGGACACATGACAAGCCCTTTGGGGTGCTAGTCTGGGTCTTTACAAATATATTTACTGGCATGTGAAAAAATGCTCCACTGACGGTGCTAAAGCTGCAAAGCTGTAATATCACTGCTTATCCACTGCCCAGATACGGCCTGTAAATTCAGAGCATTTAGCAAGACTGACTATCAATAAGCACTTTTTTGGCATCTTTCTTACATATGACTGCAGATTTGGACCTGAGCAGTCACAGTCTGATCTTTTAAATGGTTCAAATCTTGAAGGGATGGTCAAACTCTGGTTCTTTGAGGCCACAGTCCTGTAGAGATCAGTGTTCACCCTCTTCTAATGGAAATTCAACTTACAAAGTCTTTTGTTATTACCTGATGAGTCAAATTAGGTGTGTTAAAAGAGAGAGAATGCTAAATTCCATGCATTCCTACAGAGTCATTTATTTCAGCTCTGATCAGTCTAGCCCCCTCTTCATTATTGATCTCTGATAATGTTCAGCTATAAAATCGTTATCAGAGCCCTAGAGCCCATAGTAGACCATCTACCTGGGGATCACAGAAAAGGCAAGTTGTTTTCATGCACCTTTACTGCCATCTTGTGGCCAAGCCAGGGGCATAATCATGGAGATCTGCAGTAATAAATCCAGGAAAAACCTGAAGAGGGTCAGCACATTCAGGGTTGGTTTAAGCTCACTACATTTGTACTACATTTGCCTTTCAGTGGAGAATCTCCTTTCAGAAGGCCGTGTTGTCCAGGACTAGGCTTAATCCTTGTTTGGGAAGCAGACCCTCAGTGCTCGTTCACACAAGCTCTACAACATATGAATCATGCATAATGCTGACAGCATTCCACAATGAGTGTAGCGATGATGACAGACAGTACTTTTTACAAGAATTTTACTTCCACAATAAATTATTAGTAGGTCACACAAAACTACAGCAGTGTACGCTTATTGATCATCATATTTGGACAAAGTGTTTTTTGGTTAATGCATATACATAAAACAAGCAGAAGGCACAGACTGTAATTTACAGTTAAAATGAAATGATTAAAACTACTGTTAACACCTGCTAATTATGAACAGTTAGGACCGGCTGAGACGGTTCCTTCCTCTCTCTTTCAAGTAAACTTCCTCATTCATAAATACTCACAATAATACTCTGTTTAAGGAAATGTTAATCTCATCATGAGCTTCATTTCGGGCCATCGTATGCAGTAAACTTGGCTGTGCTGTAACGTTTACTGTCTATTGTAAGACCATTGCATGGCCTTTTATTATTAAAGGGGAATTCCTCTGATTTTTCAGAACATCTGTAAAACTCAGTCTTTAAGATGTAAACAAAGTCATTCTGAAACAGTTCATTGTAGAGAACCTTACTGATTCAGATTACTTTATAATAGTGGTGATAGGAACCAGGGGTCTCAAAGTGTACCCTGTGAATATAAACACTTTATATGCTAACTAAACTAGCCAGTGAATCTACAGCTGTCTTTTGAGTTTTCATATTTAATGCTGATAATGGTTTGATAATCATTTTCTCTGGGTGCTGTTTTGCCTTAGAACACACTGCATGTTCCTCTCCGCTGTGACCAGATATGAAAATATAATTTAGGCTGACTCCTTATTTCATAACGATCATACAACAGTGTCTCTGACATCTGACAACATATTTATAATCATTCAGAGTAATAACTTTCCGTGAAGTAGCTGTGAGTAACTGTTTCCTGTCACGACACTGTGAACAATTCTGACTCAAACCACTCAGAATGGTTCTGTTTGTACCTTAACGATTTAACTGTCCAGATATTTTGAAAAATAAAAGAAATACTACTTTATGCCTTTTCTCTAAAATCTCCTCAGCTGAGCCTGAGACGGACTCGAGTGAAGCTTTTACATCCTTCTATTTAAACACATTCATGTAAACCAGACAGGTTTCAGCAGGGGTGATTGCACAGACAGAAATTCTTCCAGTTTAATTCTCAAGTTCTAAATATGTTAGTTCATATTCTCTCTCAGAGCTAGCTGGCAACCGGCTTCTGGCAATGCTCACCTTCCCAGCCTGGGAAACACTGGCACTTAAACAGCTCTATAAAATGTTTCCTCTCTCTTTTATCACTCATCACCCTCCTCTGTATCACATACGGTGGACCGCCGGAGGCCTCATCTGAAAGATCAGCTCTGCGAATGATGGTCCACTCGGCTGGGTCTAGATGGAGGTAGGCCCCGGAGCCTGAGTCTTTGCGTTGGCATCGGCCCCGAGACGAGCACAGAGTCCGGCTGCACATGAATGCAGCTTCGGTCACGTTTACCACGTATCGGCCCAGAGTGGAGTCCAGGTAGTCCTTCACTGCTTGACAGGTGTCCTGGAAAAGGGAAAGTAGTTCCAATAAGTCTGTGTCACAGATAACAATGCAAATCCAACTTCACAATAAAAACTGTTTTATATATATTTTTATATATATAAAACATATATATAAAAATATTATATATTTTTTATTATTGTTTAAAAAAAAATATATATATATATATATAATTACTTATTTCACATGCAATAATAATGAACTTTAAAATTTTACATACTATTTCCCAAAAGTTATTTTAAGATACTTTATTCGAAATTTCAAGTATTCTGTGAACAAGAAGTAAATAAAATGATAAATAATATACTTTAGTTCTCTACATTTCCATGAATTTATTGAAGTTATCTGTTTTGAGATTTGATCTCCACTACTGAAATATGACAAATTTTAGATTTACATTTTATTATAACTTTATTCTCATTGCTACACAGCTTTTTCTCCAGTTTAACTGGCAGCTTCCTAGTTTCCTACTAATTAGTGAAACCCGTGACACAAGATTAGCATATTAGAATAATTTTATATGAACATTTTATGATTCTGCAACCAAATTGGATTTTATTATTGAAAATATTGATTCCAAGATTGTGGCAACAAGAAAATGTAACTTTTTCCCAACTCAGACACCTTGAATTAAACTATGCAAAGCAAAATTAAGGTGTACAGAAATAAAGGCAACAATTTATTATTATTCAAACTTCCAAAGCACTTCAAATCAACTTAAAATCAACCCTGTTCTACTTTTTACAATATAAAGTAAGCACTGTATCAGCGTATTATAATTATCTATTTACAATTAATCAGTCAAGTTATCTGCCTCAAGCTTTGATCACACTTTTGAGCTTTCTCAGTCACTTTTAATCATCTCTGCTTATTAATCTGGACAAAATAAAAATGTCTTTACAGCTTTCTACCATCTACTAATTATGCAGAACCTGTGATGTTGTCTGAGACTACAATATTAGACAATTTGCTCCATGCAAATTGGTTTTCTAATATTACCAATGTTGATCCCAACTTTTTAAATTATGATTCACTTTTATTCACTCATTTTTTCACAGGAATAATTAAGGTTGAGAGAGTGTTCGCTCTGTTGTGAGTGCCCCACCTTGCTTTTAGAGTAGTTTGCATCTCCCCATAGAACAATTCCTGCTGCCCCTAATGCAACACTCTCTCCAATGGTATTAACCAGCTCCTCCTTAAAAACACAGACAAAAGTAGAACATAAATTCATAGATCATGACACTTTGGGGCAAAAACATTAATAATACATAGTCATTTTTTAGCTGACCTGTGAGAGGAACTCTAGCGAGTAGGTAAAGGCAATGCGGGCATAAGGGATGACAGGGGGCTTGATGGGAGTCACCTGCTCTCTCACCCTCAAGCCCTCCAGGATTCGATATCGGGAGTACAGCAGAATATCACGGTCGTGATCCTTGAGCATCAGATCCAAGTAAATGTCAGGATACAGAGCCGTGCTCACGTTCCACAACCAGGAAAGCATGTCATTCCTTTTCACTTCCAGTGGTGGGCACTCTCCAGTGTAGGTCTCGTTCTTCTTGTACTGGTAGTTGTAGCAGCAGGGAAAGCCATAGAAGCCCCATAGCCCCTCTGGCCGTTCCCTTCGTCCCAGCTTCAGGGTCTCCTCCATGAAGGCCCGTGCTGCCCCTTCAAAGTCTTTTACAGCTTCCACTTCTATCTGCTCTGGGTTCCAGTCTGGATGTTTGGCCTTCACCAGTGCCCTGGAGCCTTTCCAGTACACTTCCTTACTGTCCCAGTTCCGTTCCCACAAAGGCCTCCAGCTCTCCCAGTCCACCACGGCCAGCCCTTGGAAGCCCTGATCTGGGATGGCCTTCCGCAGGTCGGAGTCAGCTTGCCAGATGTGGTCACTCAGGCTGGCGTTCTGAGGAACCCCTCCATACACTGCTATGTTCTCCTTATCATAGTGAGGATAGAAGCCCAACTTGCCTGAGTAGAAGATGGTAATGTTACCACCAGTGAATGTCTGGTTCTGGTTGTGGACAATATCGAAAACACTCAAGTCAAGTTCAACACCATAGCGAGATGCACACTGCTCAGTGGGAGCGTTCCATACTGTGAAGAATGGGAGGTGAGACAAGGATTTAAGTGAATGGACCAAGACAGGAGAGGTCATGAAAACGCAGAGGAAGATCAGAGGACACGTCCAGCAGGCAGTAGCACCCATACCTGGAAGCAACATGGGGACATGAAAGGAGAGCAAGGAAAACCTCTGCAGTTAGATGAGTCAACTCAATTTAAATGTAAATTAAGGTGACTCAAAGTCTAATTTCAAAAGGTAATTTCAATGATGGGAGCCAATTTGTTTTAACAAAGGTATATGTTATACTGAACAGCCCATTATCCATAATAATCATCCACTTCAAGCAACACTGGGTGCCTTCATGTGAGACAAGAAAGGCAAATAGAATGTGTGCGAATTCGTCCTGCTGTAATTTATACATACTGTATTAAAGCAGCAAACAAAGCATCTTCGTTACCTTATAAAGTGTAAAACGACTGATTTATTAAAGCATTTGTCCATGTATCATATATCATTCATGTATTGTATTTTATTTAGACGTATTTGTATACATGTAGTTTATCGTACTACATAAGAACATCTCCTCCATTTCCGTGAAGAAATGAAAAAGCAACAAACTCAATGCAATAGGCTCTATATTCTCTCACCAGTTCCCTCACAAGTTTTGCGCTGCAATTGCAAGAAGCAGGGCCTTTTTGGTGACATCATCACGCAGCCTTGTTAGGACTGTTCCAACTGTGTGACCAATAGGCTACTAAGGAGGAGTCTTCACAGGACAGTCCCACAGAGGTCCTGCCCTACCTCGGCTGCAGCCTAGGCTCTGGAACGCAGCTTAACTGTCCATTCTGGTTCCTGCAGCTTAAAATCCCGAGTGCTTGTGCAGCCCATTAACCTTTGCCAAGGCACTGTGGTCACTTGTGGAACCAACCAGACGGAGTGAGGAGGACGAAGAAGAGGGATAAAAACCATATGTGTTGCTGTCGATTTGCAGTCTTTTGAAATTACTCACATCATGCTTTTGTCATCCCCGGGTACTGAACCCAGCGCTATGATTGGTCGAACTCTTTTTCTTCTGTTTTTCGGAAGGCTAGACGCTGCTGCCTCTTTCTGTTAGATTTGAGTACTGCATGTGCACAATTGAACTCACAGGCATCACCAGCTTTTTGTGTATTCAAATCGTACCAGTGGACTTAGTCAAAGCGCGTATCTGCTATACAAAATGCGTAAGGGTCGGCAGGTCTGTAACTGCCATTAACTCAAACAACTGCAATCAGCAATTAGGTCTAAAGCCTCGCCACCCTAATTGCTATCCCAAACATGACCTCAAAATAAAAAATGTACATAAATAAAACAGATTCTTATACTAATGTGGATATATTCTGGTTTGGCCATTAGAGGTTAAAGTGAAGGGATGTGGAGGCAAAGGAGATTGATGCGCAGGGACAGATGGAGGTCTAAGAGGAGGACAGCATGTCAAGGCAGCACCAATTCGGAGGACACCCCATGATAGGGTAAACTTTCTTTTTTTCTGTATTGCACAGTAAACTGTAGTTCAGAACAGCTGGAACAACAGACAAATCTGTTATTAAACAAATTATTGTTTAAATACACATTATGGTTTTGATAATGTCAGTGCACATCTCTATATAGCAGTATTAGAAACTACAGAACATATATGAAACCAATACTGTTGTCATTAATTTTGCACCAATCATATATCACCATCAGATATTCTGTGAATGCAACTTTGCTTTATACATAATTAGGTGGTGCCACACCCCTTAATGCTGCTGCCCTCCTTGTGCCCCCCAATGTCTACAATCCTGAACACGCCAGTGGATCCACTAAACTTCATCCTGAATCCTGAGGTCCTCATGGAATTCAAAACTGGAAATGTGGGGTGTGACTGCTGGTCACTGCATACAGACCTGCTTATATATATTCATAAATGCAAGAATTTGGTGATTCAAACAGACTAACATTATATCAGGGAATCTTTTCTAGCAGCACCATCCTGACTTTGTTTTAGCCCCATTATGACTTGTATCTTTATTTCTTTAAAGGGGAATTCCACTGATTTTTCAAAAGTTCTGCATAATTCAGTGGCCGAGATGTAAACAAAGTCATTCAGAGTGGTTTGATATGAAATGGTTCATTGTGATAGGAACCAGAGGTGATGATGTCTACAATGCAAATATAGCCAGTCTATTTACTATGAAAAATCTCCAGTGAACCTACATGTCTTCTGAGTTTTATATATAATGTTGATGATTGTAAAATAGTGGTCAGTCTGAAAAAATAAGCTTTCTTTGGGGACTATTTTGCCTCACAACACCTTTTTGTTCGTTTAAGACCAACAATTTTATCACTAAACTGCCTTGAAACAGTGTCTCAGGCATAAGGCAATGTATTCATAAACATTTCATGTAGTAATTTTCTGTGGAGGAGCTTCTTCTGTGGAGGCATTAAACTCTTCAGACGTCTGGTTCCTACCACCATCACTGTGAACATTTCTGACTCGGTAAGTTTCTCTAGGACGAAGCATGAAAGACTTCGTTGACACGTTAGCCATTTAATTATGCAGAAATTTTGAAAAATAGGTGGAGTTCCCCTTTAAGGAGACCAACTTCCAGTCTAGTGAAGTTTCTAAGCCCATACGGCAGTTTAGACACACAGTGTGTTCGAGAAACACCAGTATTTCAGTCGATGAATCTCTACTTGAGAGGAACAAGTCTGACAGTGAGTAAAGTGGAAATAACACCTAAAACCGCCGGTATTAAACCGCGTTCTCGACTGAAACACGTTCTAGACTACAAACAGTGAAGAGAACATAGTTTTCAGGCTTACCTGTCGCCTATTGCTCGTCGGCTAGGCTAATTATCAATGACCATAAAGGGAAACGTAACATAGTAACAACTCGTGACTAGACTGGTTTTAAAACGGGGGAAATAAAATGAGGAACCGAGTCCCTACTGTCAGCAGAGGGTGGAGTGAGGAGAGAGGCGGGGCGGAGCTGGGAGAACTCAAAGGGGGACTCCACCGGCATTTCAAAAATTCTGCGTTATCAAACGGTCAAGATGTAAGCAGTCCTTCAGAGTGATTTGATGTGAAATGCTCCGCTCTAGAGAATCTTGCCGAGTCAGAACTGTTCACAGTGGTGATAATAGGAACCAGACGTTTGAAGAGTTTAATGTCTTTAAAAGCGCCCTTACAGAAAGTTATCACACGAAACGGTTAGACCTACGCTGCCTGTTGTCCGACACATTTTATTATAATAGCTTTGTGGTAAAGTTTTGGCTCAAAAAGTATTTTAATTGATTTACATTAATCCATTCACAGTGGATGTGTGAGATTTTTCAGATTTGTGACTATTTATGACAGATTTATTTATTTATTTATTTCAGATTTATTTTACCATCATCAACATTAAAACTCAGTAGACACGTGTGGGTTCACTAGTGGTTTTGGATAGTGAATAAGATGGCTATATTTCTCTTGTAGACATTGTGACCCCTGGTTCCTATCACCACCACTGTAAAGACATTTAAGTTTCTCTACAAATAATCATTTCACATAAAACTACTCTGAATAACTGTTTACATCTGAAGGATTGTATTATTCAGAACTTTTGAAAAATTGGTGGAATTCCCCTTTAACCAGAGCTAGGGCTGTTCGTGTCCAGAAATGGTGAGTCGACTCCGATTCCGATTCTAAGTGACAGGAATAGATGGAGTCGATTCCAACAGATGATTCCACAGAATTATTTTCTCGATGCCAGATTCCAAAAATGAAAACACAAAGCAGGAGATCTGGCAAAATAAAAGTACATGGCATGAATGACATGTCTGGACATATTAAAGGGGAATTCCACCCATTTTTTAAAACATTGACATTATTCCATTGTTGAAATGTAGTAAATCATTCACATGTGGTCTGATCTGAAATAGTTCATTGTAGAGAAACATATTGAATAAGATTTCTTTAAAGTGGTGGTGATAGGAACCGGGGTCGTGATGTATGTAACAGAAATATAGCCATTTTATTAACTATCCAAAATGACCAGTGGACCTGCACATGTCTTCTGAGTTGTATATGTAATGTTAATAATGACAAGTTATCTAGCTGAAGAAACAAGTTTACTAGGTACTATTAGGTACTATTTTGCCTAACAACACCCTGCATGTACCCCTCCACCATGAAGGAATTAAAAAAAAGGTTTAGGTCAAAACCTCATCTCAAAACTGTAGTAAAACACTGTCGCAGGTATCAGGCAGCATATCTGTAGCCATTTTCACATAACAAAATCTTATCTGAAGGTTTTTTTAGAGGCATTAAACTCCTTGGATGTCTGGTTCCTATCACCACCACTGTTAACATTTCTCACTCTGTAGATTTCTATAGAATGTGGCATTTCACATTAAACCATTCTGAATTGACTTTGTTTACACCTTTTACACCTTAAAGATGTAATTACACTGAAATTTTGAAAAAATTGGTGGAATTCCCCTTTAATTTCAGGTACTGCCTCAGTTGTTCCACAGGAACACAAGGCAGGTCAGAGAGCTAACGTTAGCTTAGGGAGAGTATATGTTTCAGCACCAGCTAAGATTATTGCAAGACTTATTTCTGTTCATAATTGTACACTGTAATAGGTTTTATGTTGCCCAAGCCAAATTTCCTGCTCTTTCTGCACAATTTTGTGTTTTTAGGGCTGTTCAAACACACCTGGTTCAACACAGGCGTGAGGAAACTTCAACATCAGTGTTTGGAATCGAGTCCAAAGCTTTAGAGTCGATTCGTGATTCCCAAATGCCTGGATTCAGAGAGCTGATTCTTTCTGGGATCGACTCCCATCCCTAACCAAAGCTCTGTTCACCACATGGAGCATATTCCTGAATTCATTAAGATTAGAGACATTCAGAGAGTGGTTAAGGAGAGCTGAAAGCTCTGCTTGCCCTGCTGTTCCACTAAAATTACTCTTGTATGGTTTAGCAGACTTGGATAGTTACTGGTTCCAAGTGCAGTTTTGCTGAGTTTGTACTTTTCCTATGCTTCAAATGATAGTCTTATTAAATATAATACACATTTTTACAAAAAAACTTTTTTAGTTCCATTTCACATCTTGTTCCTAATTCCTTTTTTATTAGTTTCATTTCATTCTTTTCTACTGGCCTCAGTATCTGCACTGCTTAGTTCTTGCTCCCCTTTAAGGTTTAATGTTTCATTTTACACCACAATTACCACAACAAGAAAACCGACAAACTTGCACTTCGCATGCTGAAAGCAGACACAGCCACTGCAGATCTGTTTGAGGAGTTAATGCTCTTTTACTCCTCCTTAATTTGTTCTTTGATGTCATCTACGTGACTCATTATTCCACTGAAGTAAAACTTTTACATGAGTACTGCTAATAAACACTAGACTTAAAAGGGAATAAATGTATAATGAAAACGGTTAAGAAGTAAACAAAGTCATTCAGAGTGGTTTGGTGTGAGCTCTGTTTTAGAGGAACTTACAGTCAGAACTGTTCACAGTGGTGGTGATAGGAACCAGACGTCTGAGGAGTTTAATGCCTCTAAAAGCTCCCACAGAAAGTTACTACAAGAAATGGTTAAGAATATTACCCAATACCGGAGACAGTTGTATGACAGCTTTTAGTGTGAGATATATTTTTTAAACGCATTCAGGGCTAAGAGAGATATGTAGGACAGAAACTTGTACACAATGAAAACTACATTTTCCAGATTCACACTATTTAAAGCTTGAGGGATTTTGTACACTAAATAAACTAAACTTTACAGGACAAGGAAAAAACTTACTTTACTCTTAATGTAAGTCAATGGAACCACACCTTTTTCCAAGTAATTCTGAGTCATTTTTTTTGGTTCATTCATTATGAAATGTACACACAACGTAAAGGGCAACAGGTATTTTCAAATTATGTCAAAATCTGAAAATCAAAAGTGAAGAGGCTTTGTTCCGACAGCAGTGATGTGTAAAGGAACTTACTGAAACTACAGTTGTTGCAGTTGTGGTTTGTATTCCGAAAATATATAATATAATATAATATAATATAATATATCTTGCATATTGGTGAGCTCAGCCTATTTCTTTCTGCCTCATTTTGCTGCTACAGTGCAGTTCAGTCCCTAGAAAGAAAACTCCCAATGAGATCAGCTACAGGACACAAATATAACTCCTTGGCATGTGAAGGCCTATAATTGTGGCTTGGCGTGGTACAAACAGTGGCCCTTTGCAAAGCAGGTCCAAGTAGTACAGTTTCAAACAATGTGTAAGCACTTCTCTTTATGTAACTTCACCATATTAGTTCAGTGACTGCACTTGTATTTATACAATAAATAGCAAAAATACATGTTGTTCCATTGTGATAATTATATCAACAGCTGTTGTGAATCACACACACATAATAAGGAGAATCCTTTTGTTTTGCAGACAGTTGGCTTCAAATAGCCAGCAATGGTCCGTGTAATGTTCAGTTGCTGTCTTGGAAGCCATTTATTAAAGGGCCCATATCATAGTTTTCTTCTTCTATTTGATTTTTTCCACCTGAGGTTTGCTTATGACATTTGTGTGGGTTTATGTACCAGATACAGTTATTATTCACTTTGGACCATTTTCCAACCTCTGTTTTTGTTACTGTGCCTTTAAGACTGATATATGTAAATAAACTCTATTCTGACTGGCCTCATTTAAAAGGAGTCTGGCCCGAAACACTCCTTATAACTTCAGTGTGAATGGGCAGAGCTAAACTGCTGTAAACTAGCAAGTGGATATATGTAAATGTGTTTGCTTTTGTGACATCGCAAAAACAATGAATTTAAAATGGGCTGCTTTTGCAGCTTGTTGTGCTCATATGGACTGTCTGCTTTTTTATACTACATCAAACTTGTGAAAAAGTGATTTGAATTCATTTTTTTCATGATATGGGCCCCTTAAATAGACCGAAATGACAAACAGAATGTAGTAAATCCTCTGCAGTCCAGATGTGTCCAACTTATATACACTCACACATCCAACAGTTCGGTCAACTGATATTCCCTAAGATAAAGCAATGGAAAACACAAACACAGCATCAAATATTACATAACACATACAGCATGTCTTGTGCGTAGACATGAAACAGGAACAGAGAATGTAAACCTAAAATATCGTCTGAATCAGGACTATATGACAGCAAATAATAATCCCTTAGTAGTCTTTCAGCAACCGACTCGCCACCTTACAGCAACACAAAATTATAAAGTGTCTTTGTGTGCGTTTCATTTCTTCAAACATTTCCCAGCATCAGAAGACAAAAACTACCCCATAAAGATGAAAATCCATCACTTATCAGTATGACTATCAGTAACTGCAGGGCAAGGCTGTCATTACAGTCTGATGAAAGACTGTAATCTGCCCTTGGATTCATATCTGTGACAATAAACAAAAGTGCTTATTTGGACTCAGAGTTTCCTGTGTTTATATCCTCGCATTTCATCTCGGAACACTCTCACTTGGGAAGATGACTTATGCCCCTTTCACGTTACATAACCTTTAAATGTCTGCACCCATAACACCTTCCACATCACAGGATCTCAAAAATAAAGCACAGACGAACCACATTTGCTTGTTCTTTGGATTGTTCTTTAAAAACTGGGTTCTTCTGCAGCATCTCTCCAGGGAACTCGTTTTGGCACCTTGTTGTTTAAGATTGCAGTGCTTTAGAATGACATTCGTACGATGCAACGCTTCAGCACTGATATTTCAACTCCTGAAATACCCCAAAATACTCATAAAGTTATTAAATTACAGTGACAATCACATAAAAATGCAAGGCATTAGCAGCTCTACAGCAGAGGGGCACTCTTAAAAGCACACTGCATAACAAGGCAATGCTTCACTAGTATCACAAAAACAAACAGCAGTATTCAGGTGAGTGTCCATTAAGGGGTGTAAATCTATGACCGCACAATGATTCACTTACATTTCAATATTTTTAACGCATCATGAAATCTCAGATTTCCCCCCTGACTTGATTCCAATTTGACTATTTTTAGGACAATTCAGAATTATTTAATAAATACACTGAAAATATAAATGTGACCAGTGGAGCCATTTACACTACAGTAGTATTTACAATATGTTCTCTGTACTAGAATCCAGACCTAAAAACAATGAACCAAACTTTGTAAAACAAACTTTGATTTGTAAAAATAGCCCGAGGAGTCAAAACTATACTAAAATTTAAAATATTGATGCATTTCAACACCCCTAATGACCGTTACGCAGAAGTGTAGGCTCGATCAGCCCAGTAAAGTGAGCAGCAGTGGGAGCAGGCAGTACCCCAACAGTGCCTGCAGTCTGTGCCCCCCTCCTTTCTGACATAGGGGATCTTGCAGCTCGCACTTATCCCCCTGGTAGCCGCTAAAGCACTGGCACATGAAGTACTCCCTCATCCACTGCAGGTCCGAAATCCTTGGTTGCCCCGTCACTTTCAGGCCGCTGCCCTGAGCCACCACAGTCTGGCTCTGAGCGTTCAGGTGCAGATAGGTGTCAGTGTCTGGGTTCCTGCGCAGGCAGCGGCCGTGGGAATTGCACACATAGTTGCTGCACTGCTCTGCTGCTGTAGACACGTTGAGGAGGTAGCGGCCCAGCAGCCCCTGTAGGTACTGGTTCAGACTGCGACAGCTGGCCTAGAGAGAGAGAAATGCTATTTTTGTAATATTACATCAATCAAAACATTATAAAGTAACTTTTGTACAAACAATTGATTCTTTACAGTCTGACCCACAGTTAAAGACAAACACCCAGAAATGTTAAAAAATACACATATTTTCTGGCTTAATATGATTTTCAATTCAAGATTTAAGTTGATCAGAAAACCAACCATTGAATTTGGTTACGAACTTTTATTTTTTCAAATGAATTTTCATTTTTTAAACTGTTTTTAGGAAGCCACTGACTGTAAAAAAGTATACTTAAAGATACTTAATTTATATATATATTTACATATATTATATATATATATATATATATATATATATATATATATATATATATATATATATATATATAGTGGTGGATTACTTCCATGGGTACAAAGTCTACAGAATTTTCAAGTTTAATTCAATATCAGTGAGATATTTGTGATAACACACAAACATTCATGTTATTATATTTATAAACCATACATTTTTATATATAAACAGTAAATTCTTTTAATATTTTAAATTGTAGTATAAATGTATTTGCTATAAATAGAGAGAAGCCTGCACCAAAACCCTGCAGTTTAATGTACTGCCTGTCCAAGAGCACCTGATCTAACTCATGACTCGTGTTGAGGTGGAGAATAGTTGAAAATGTGCAGAGGAGGTAAACAAAAGTAAAGTTGGATCCATTGTTGGTAATGGAGTAAATGAGGCCGTTGTGTGAATGCTGCTAAAAAGTGGTAAAAAACTGAAGCCCATGGTTATATTTTTGAAACACTGACAAAAATGGCTCTAGATTTCTGTGGGTACATCTTTTATTTACTTATTGTGATTCTTTTATTACTAAACATCTTTGGAATGAAGAAAAAATATCACAGGCCAAATATTTACAGGCCAAATTTGCTCCTAAACAAAGCAAGGGTGTCAACAGGAGGCAGATATGTTGTAGATTTTGATGTTATGTTATGATAGTTTAGAGTGAGTTTAGAGTGTTGAGATGTACTTTAAATGACATTTGGTCAAAATAAGGTAGGAATGGAGTCCTTTAAACAAGTGTTGCAATTTTGCAACAGAGGGTCTTCAAGACTTAAAATGTGTTGATTCTACAGAGCTGCAAAGGTATACTACATGGACTGATCCAGCTCAGAAAAATACCAGTTTTATTTCAAACCAAATATTGCAAAGTAGATTGGCCTTGTGCAAAATGGTGATCTTATTAAATAGTGATTTAATAGTGCAACTGAGCTATAAATGATATAAAACCCTGAACCCCCCTCCTATAAACCCTTATGCAGCATATCCCAATTTCCAATCCCCAAAACAGAAATATCAGCATCAACATCACAAAAACAGACGTTACTGTGTACAATACAGTACCGGCAATAGAGAATACTGTCACCATGACAATTTCTGACACTGACACATGTTGTTGAGTGACATTTGCATGCCTGTAGACGGAGCTTAACTGCAGCAAGCAACGTCTCGGTTGTGTGGGATTACTTCACGCTTAAGACAAGCAGTAGCAAAAGTGCTCACTGCAAAATCCAGTTTAATTAATCATTTAAAGATCAGCCATGCCAAAGAGCACAATGACGTTTGTAGCTCTAAACTAAAATACTGAAAAAGTGCAACTGTATAAATATGAGGATTTATAGGCACCTATAAACCTTAACTTTCACTTCAGATCAAAACAGAACCCTAATCCCAAAATTACTGCTAACACTGTTATACTGATATCAACTGAGTTTTACAAGATAGTTTGATAACAATTGAGCATCTGTAGATAATCTATAATCTATATCTATATTATACAGTTGTTACCAGAAGTTTGAAACCCCCAAATTACATATTTTGTTGATTTTCTAAATCAAAATAAGTGCATATCCTCTACAGGGAACTTAAATATGGCATTTCCCAGCAATTCTAAGGGCACAACTGTATTATGCTATTATGTTAAATTCAGCAAATAAATAGTAATTGTGCATTAAGATGTGCAGAAGCGAGTTCTCAGTAGAGGATGTGTTAACTTATTTTCACTTAGAAAATCAACAAAACATGACATTTGTGCCCCAACAGATGCGTATGATTGTATCTATCAAAAAAGTTAACCAAAAGAATAGTTCATAATATAACAGATCTAAAATGTATAAATATAAATATAAAAATATATGCAATATATATGAAAATCACAGATTTATGTTCTATTCATATATACATTTACTTCATATATACACAAAGTTGTATTATTCTAAACCTCTTACTAAACCTCTTATTCTTTCTGATATCATCTGTGATGTTCATATATATTTCATATATATATATATATATATATATTTAAAATTATACATACATATATATATATATACATATATATACATACATACATACATACATACATATATATACATATATATATATATATATATATATATATATATATATATATATATACATATATATATATATATATATATATATATATATATATCATTAATCATTATGCCAATTTCTACAGCGCACAGGTATCTCAACAACACATGGCTACAGATTACAACAGGGCATGTATTACTGATTTTGAGGTAAGTGTGATTTGATGCAAATGCTTACGTTGCTACTGGCGTAACTGGCATCCCCCCAGAGTATGATGCCGGCAGCCCCCAGTGCCACACTTTCTCCGATGGTGGAGACTAGGTCTGTCTGCAGAGAGAAACAATAATCAATGACTGGTGCTTGGCAAACCTTTTAACCAATCACTGGCCTTTTTACTAGCTCTAACTGCATTCAGAAATTCCGAATTGGCTATTTTAGTTGGCGACAAGTTTGCACATCCGCTCTTATTTTAGTAAGGAAATAGCCAGAGGACTGGTATGATGGGTGGTGGTGAAAAATGCGACCAGCACCCTTCCTGCATACACACACATATGCACAAACACACACACTAGTTGGAGCAGGAAAAGGCTGCGGATAGAGATAAGGGGTGAAGGTTAAGTTTAGGGTACAACAGCTTTATGGAAAATTGTTCTGAAGACCAAGTGGAAAAATATGATGGTATAGCAAGTTCACCTACGCAGTCATTGGCAAGGTACGGTCAGCTGCACACAGAATATTATAGAATATTATAGCCTATAGGATCAGTCTTCATTTGACATGTGACAATGCATCACATTCTGTTTCTGGAAGGAGGTGACAGAACAAAAGGAAGGCTGGACAAAGCCTGTGTTGACCAGATTGTTTTGACCAAGCCAAATTCGAGTGAAATTGCAACATGTGAAACTCTAAGAAAAGAAATTAGCATGTTTCTCCACATTTTCTTGCTACTGAGCTTCATCATTATTATTCACAGGCTTCTTCAGTACTGGAGGGACAAAACCACAGAACTGAGTGTTTTCCACTGCCTGATGGTCTTAATCTGACTCGACACATCAGACAATTAGCAAACCTTTCTTGAGTTGAATGAAATCATTTGGCCATGGAAAACGTTCAGAGTTTAAAGTGGAAGAGCACTGACTTTTCAAAGTTTCTGCTTTGCTTCAGGAGAAGCTTGCAGAGCAGAGCTGGATGGTATGTGATATTGCGATTGCGATACGTTTTTATGATACACGATTTGTCACAATAATTCTTCTTTCTTTTCATTTAATGCCTCTAAAATTGGCCTCACAACGTTTTTTAATAAATGGTTACGAACATGTTGTAGCCTCATGCCTGAGACGTTGTACAATAGTTTTGTGATAACATCTTTTTTTACAATCCATGCATGCAAAGTGTTAAAAGGCAAAATATTCCCCAAAGGCCCACTGCTCATTTTGAATGAATGAATAAATGAATGAATTAATAAATAAAATAAAATATAATAAAATAAAATAAAATAAAATGGCTATACTTGTGTTGTAGATATAACGACACCTGGTTACTATCACCACTAGTATAAAAGTCAGTAGTTTCCTCTACAGTGAACCACTTCACATCAGGTCACTCTGACTGACTTTCTTCACAGCTCATTGATTGAATTACACAGAGGTTTTTACATTTTTTTTTATTCTTCTTTGACAAACCTATGATACCTCTGAGTATCAAACCTCTGAGGTTTGGCTTAAGTCTATGACGCATCACAACTAGTTTAGAGGTCGAATCCAAAAAGTCAAGCATTCTCTGTCTTAGAAATCCAGCTTTGAAGTGATAATCAAATAATGTCTTCTAGTCAACTGATATGAGTGATAGAGATAAAAGGAGACAACTAAGCAAATAAATAAGGCGGAGTCTGCTATATAAATTAATCTACACTCATTGATCAGAGTATGTCAGTTACATCCTCACCTCAGAAAGCAGCTCCAGCTCATTGGCATACGTGGGGCGGGTATAGACAAAAACCGGACGTGCCGGTCCTTCTCCCACTGACGCCAACCTCATGCCCTCCTTCACTCTGTTCCGCACAAACTGGCGAGCGAAGGGTGTTGAATGCAGCACCGACCCTATGTAGATAGAAGGGAAGAGGGCTGTGCTTTCAGTCCACAGCCACTTCAGCTGGTCATTCCGCGCCATCTCTGGGTCCGGACAGCGGCCCGAGTAGTGCTCCAGGCTGGTGTGGTAATTGTGGTTGTAGCAGTCGGGGAAAAGATAAAAGCCCCAGAGCTGGTTTGGCCGCAAGCTTTTGGCCTGCCGCAGAGTCTCCAGCATGAACCTACGGCCTGACGTCTCAAACTCCTGCTGGGCCACTTTGTTGACACGGCCCTGGTCCCAGGTTGGGTTCTTTTTGAACACCAAGAGCCGCGACTGGTTCCTGTAGATGTTCTTGGCATTCCAGTTCCGTATCCAAAGAGGACGCCAATCCTCCCAGTCTATGACGGCGAGGCCCTGTGCGTTCGGGTCACGAATGTACTTTTTGATGCCTTCGGGCATCTTCTCGAGGTGATGTGTCAGGCTGGCAATTTGAGGCAGTCCACCGTTAACTGGAGTGCCTGATTCAAAATATGGGTATAGGCCCAGACGGTCTCTGTAGAAGATGGTGAGGTTCTGTCTGGTGAAACCCTCATTAGGTGAAGCCACAATCTGGAACATATCCAGCTGGAAGTGAACGCCATGACGGGGTCCACAGTCCTCTGTGGGGGCATTCCAGGCTAGGAGCAAAGGCTTATTAGGGTACAGAGGACCTCTTGTGGACTTAAGATTTTGGGCGACGGCAACATAGTCCAAGACTAGTGGAACCAGCAGCCAGATTTTCCATTTGGACAGGAACCAGTTAGCCATAACTTTAGTGTTGTGTTTACAGCAACAGCTTTGCTTCTGTTAATGTCTGGTCAGAAAAAAAGAAGGAAAACGTCTGCATTCTTGTGTAGAGTTCTACCAACACGATTGCTTCATTCAAGAACCACAAGCACTTCTATTTAAACTGGAAGAAAACCCATAAATAATCATTCTGGACAAAATAAATGCAACAAATGAAGGTTCAAGGAAAGATTTGCATCTTATTTAAATAATTTGGTTCCAAGAAAAGTTATTTATCAACAGCACAGACCTTACACTGCTCTCAGTTACATTCAGAGCTCATAAAACACAAGGCACATGCCACACTCTTAGAAAAGACGGTTCTTCAAAGTTCTTTAGTAAAGGGAATGGTTCTATTGAGAACCATGAGTTCTATATAGAACCTTTTCGCACTTGGCTCCTTGCATGGTGAAAAGGTTCTTCGGATTGACGGAGAATGTGTTGCATATGGTTCTACATAGCACCAAAAGGGGTTCTGCTATTGTTACGATGACAAGCTTGTAACAGTGGAAGAGCCCTGTTGGTGCTGTGTAGAAGCATTTTCTATACAGAACCATACACAACACACTCTCCATCAATCTAGAGAACCATTTCACCATGTAAAGAACCGTTTAAGCATGAAATGGTTCTATATAGTCCTCAAAGTTCTAAACAGAAGCACTGCTGAAACATACTTTACTAAAGAACCCCTGAAGATCCATAGGAGGGAAGATCCTATAGGAGCCTCCTCAAAGAAAACAGGCCTGAGTGACAGTGACAGATTCTGAACAACCATCAGCCCTTGAAGCTAAATTCAGACCTAAACGCGAGGCGAGACGTCTTACTGCAAAAAAAAACTCCATATAAGAAAGAAAAGAAGGAAGGAGTTTAGAAAGAAACTCCATTTTCTTACCACTGACATCAGAAACGGAGAACATGCCCGGATAGATAAAGGCCCCCCGGTTTCTGAGGGTTAGAAGCGGACGCTGCTCTGTTACCTCAGGCACCCACTCAGGCAGCAGGGGTTTCAGACTGTTTTACATACTGAAAACACGCGGTTTTAAAATTAGAAAACCTAAAAATCCCCCTTCTCATCTCCTCTCTCTTAAAAGAAGTACTTAAAAGTAACTTCTGCAGTTGTCGTAATGTTTAGAGAGCTCATCGCCTCTCTCCCCTCTTTCATTGATAATGGGGATGGGCGGAGCCAGAGGACTACTGTGTTTATAGAGGGCCGTTAGTGGGCGGGGATTTCAAAGAGAGCCAATGACTCTGCAGGTGGGCGTGGTCAAGTGCCACTGTATTCACAGAGGGGCGGGGCTTTCTGTGCGTCCTACTGTCTTGTGATGTAGAAATTAGAGGAGGAAAACACGTGGAAAGTCTTCTTCACCGTCAGCTGTGATTCCTTAACACCAGATGTGGTCTGTCCACTGAATGTACACGCAGCTACCAAGAGAGCCACGCACACAGTGAAAGTAAATCAATGAATTAAAATTATGAAAAGATGATGTCAGATGATGAGTGACGTCCAGAATGGTGAACAGAGATAGAGGCGATTCCATAATGAATGAGAAAGATGTTAAACATTGACAGTTAAACGTCTGGAAGTTAAAAACATCCAGAATGCCTTGTGTTTGAAACTTGGTGATTAAATCAAGCACGTAACTAAATAAAAATAAATAAATGATTACAGCATTTAATTTGAGAACTTTTTAGTGTTATAGCTTTTGGTGATATGGTGTTTCAATCTATAGTGTATTTAAATGGATTTTAATAAAATAAATTGAAATTAAGTTCAAATAACCAATATCAAACTTTTGAAAAATGTGTGTGTATGTGTGTGTGTTTAGATACATAAATATATGTAGAAAACCTTGTATCTTCATTTTTGTTGTTCAGTTTTTGACATAATTTGAAAATGCATGTTGTCATTTACATTGTGTGTAAATTTCATGAAGAATGGACAAAAAGAAATGACCTAAAACGACTTGGACAAAATTCTGGTTCCATTGACTTACACTAAAAGTAAAGTAGGTTTTTTCCTTCTCCTCTGAAGTTATCATTTTGGAGATATGGGGTGTTTTAATGACAACAGCGATATATTGTATTCCTTACAGATGTTAGAATTCAAAAAGCTATTTATCTGGGTAATAACCATTTATTTGCTCACAAAAACACTAATATTAGCATAAATACAAATCCTATTAATACACTAAGTGGTGATTTTGCATTTGTTAGTGTGATCGCCTCTCGCTGTGGCTGCCCAGCATTATTTATGGTTATCCAACACCTGCGGTCTCATGAAGCAGAATTTCTTGCTTAGCCAGTTATCTTTAGGTTTACTTTAATCTAAACGTGGCTTTTCTGTCTCAGGATGGTGGATCAATCACTTTTTCATCGTCATAGCAACTTATGCTGTATGCTGAATCTGCTCCAGGGAAGGTTAAGTTTGGGATTTCAGATCATAGACAGTTATTGGACCAGTCAAGGCCAATCTACTGACCAATCAGGGATTGATGGAGGTGTATCTGTCTGGTTACTTTTTTTCATGATGTTTTCTGCATCAGTAACATGATAATATCATGGTGTGTTCTGAGTGAATAATCCGCTCCTCTCTGTGCCCTCCTCCGCTTCTGTGGCAAGAAGCCACTTGTGTAACGTAGGTGTGACGCACATCCGAGAGGTGAGTGGGAGTAGGTGAGGGCAAGTAAAAAAAAAGAACTGAATCAGGACTTTTATCAGATGAAGCAAATCATAGTACATAATTACGAACATTACGAAGCAATTATCAGTAAAATAAGCATGAAGCCTAACAGTGGTGCTGTTCTTACTGTTAAAAATGCTTCATTTTCTGCATATTTACATAGTTTTATTTTTCCTTCCTTGAAAAAAGCTGCTCCTCACGTCTCATGTGTTCATAAACATTATGCTTTCATGTGCATGCAGACAAGGATTAATCATAGTTTGAGTATCTAAACCTGGGTTAACAGAGAAATTGTGTTAGATATTATGTTAAATCGAGTGTGCTGGTGATAAATTTATCAAATGATACAAATAAAAAAAAAATGTAACAAATATGTGATGGCTGGGGGCGTTCAGGAAACATCTGGAACCAAACTTTGTTCTTCAAATCTGCTTCCCAAGATATCAGCACTATAATCAATGAGAAGGATGTTGAACATTGACAATCAAGTTAAAAATTAACATCCAGAATGCCTTGTGTTTGAAACTTGGTGAGTAAATCTTGGACAAGCACACAACTAAATAACACTAAATAAATAAGTACAGCATTTAATTTAATAACTTTTTGGTGTTATAGCTTTTGGTAATGTGGTGTTTCAATCTACACTGTAGTTAAATGATTCTGATTAAAATGAATTGAAATTAAGTTAAATAAGCAGTGATATCAAACTTCTGAATGCTATGTGTGTGTGTACATATATATATATATATATATATATATATATATATATATACACATACATATATATGTGTGTATGTGTGTGTGCGTGTGTGTGTGTGTGTGTGTGTGTGTGTGTGTGTGTGTGTTGCATGTATGTATGGTGGGATGATGGTTCTTCAAGGGTTTTAGTAAAGAAAATGGATCTACACTGAACCACGAACACTCAAACAGCACGATTAAGGGGCTCTTTGCATTGTTAAATGGTTCTTCAGACATGTGTTAAGCCTGTAACAACAGAAGAGCCCCTTTTGGAGCTATATAGAACCCTTTTCAAAAAGTTTCTATACAGAACCATACAAAACACATTCTCCATTAATCTGAAGAACCACTAAACAATGCAAAGAACCATCATGCAAAGGGTTGTTTAAGTGTTCATAGTTCTATATAGATCCATTTTCTTTAGTAAAGAACCCTTAAAGAACCATTTAACCAAGTGTGTACTTGAAATGATTACTGTATTTATTCCCACTTGCATTTATTCTAATGCTGTAGTGTTGCTACAATAAAACACTCTCAGTGCTGAGACAAGGTACTTTGGGGGTCTAAGACTTTTGCATAGTATTGTATGTATTATTTTAATTAAACACATGTGAGAATGTAATATTTTCAACCGATACAAAGTAAGGGCATGTTCACTGTGGGAAGACCCGCTGTCCTGCATGAGAGGATGTGTGGAAGTCAGGAGCCTCGAGGGAGCACATGACAGGTAGGATATGAGGTCACTGTTGGCCTGCGCTGTTCCTGTAGCTAACTGTGTTCCTGGCCAAGAGTGACCTGCCCAGATCCTGTTCCGCCATTTCTCCTCGTTTCTGCTGACTCGCCTAATGCTTCTGTATGTGGTCTGTGTGTGAGAGAGAGACAGAGAGACAAAGAGAGAGAGAGAGAGAGAGAAGGCTTCCTTCCTCCTGACACTTCCCACTCACCCTGGAAAAGCCTTTACATCAGGGCTGCTCTTGAGCTCGCCGGGCCAGGAAACTGTAACAAAGTGAGGGGAACTGAACTCACACACACCCTCTGCTACTCACACCCCGGGAACACGAACCCACCCGTCCTAACACAATAGGAGAGGACAGAGACATCAGCTGCCGCTCATTCATTCTCTTTGTTTGTTTTCATAGAAAGACACTCAGCTAAATCGGTGCCAAAGCAATGTCATCTGCATGTCACTGTCAGGGAAGATACATGTTTTGGTGTTAGGAGGTTAGCGGTTAGACGCAGACTCTCCTTGTTAACACTATTAGTGTTTCGATAAGGAGGTCACACAATACAGACTGTGAATTGGATTGAAATTGTTTTTATCGCTCTATTAAAAAACAGTTTGTTCTGACTGGACAATCTGATTGGTTGAGGAGCATTCAGACGGTGCACAGTGGAGTGATGTAGTTATTGCTGTGTTTTTTTGTTTTTTTTAACAATAATTTTACCATTCGTCTGATCATCAGCTGCTTCAACGTGCTTTATGGCGCAGATAACTGTTATTGAGTTTCTACTTAAGCACATACACAAACACACATTATCTAAGTCGCTTATCCTTCTGAGTCACACTGGGATGGTGCTGGAGCCTATCCCAGCGGTCATTGGGCAGAAGGCAAGAAATACCCTGGACAGGTCACCAGTCCATCGCAGGGCTTTAGCACATACATGAAACAGAAAATGATAGATAACTTCTATAAAGTATGTGGCCTGCAGCTCATTTGGTCAGATTCTGAAGAAGAGTGTGAATTCTGGGTGGGCAAGATGAAAAGATTTTATCACTATGGTCATACGCCACAATATGATTTTCTGAGCATACAATGGATATTGTTAGTACTTAAAGAACACTGGACTGTATGCTTTATTACATAGTTTGTCTTAATTGGATTTAGAGCAGCGCAGTGTGTGAAATGTAAAATAAAAATTATATTAATAGTTTTTGATAGAATTTTTTAAATGTGGCCCTTCTGGACCATTTTTGTTTGTTCCAACTTCAAATCAGAAAAAAATTTTTGTGTATCATGAAAATGTCTCTATGTATCATGATGTTTTCGCTACATCGTCCACCCCTAGAGTGACCGCAGACTGACATCGAATTCCGAACCTGTCGTTGCCACTAAGCTAGCTTTTAAGTCAACAGCTGTGACCAAACAACTGAACAAACTGGGATCAGTCAGAAACAGAATACAATTGAGCAAACAGGATGAGCTGTGAAATGCTTTACAGACTGACTGGAATAAAACCACATTCGAGTTAATCCAGCAAACTGAAAAAGCTGAGCCAAACTTTATTCTGAGACAGTTTTTGGCTCCATCTGTGGAGCAAAAGGCTAACACTTGTACTCATTTTGGCAGTATTAAAGCACATTTGATACAGTGTTCAGGGCTCCTTTGCTTTACTTTTCTTTGTTTTGCAGACCTTTTGTACAAAAGCAATAGATACGAGAGGAAGTGTGTTTTCGCAGATAACATCATGGCTGAGATTTGATAGCAGGTGTAAGCAGAATGCAAGTAATATACATTATCCACTTTGTGTGTACTTGAAGTTATTTGTCCTCTAAAAAATGACTAGTTCGTGGTAATTATTTCATTTTTTATTGCATCAACCACTGCAGCCTTGTTTTTTTGCGACTGGACAAAATGTATGCTGAATATGAAAATTTCATACTTCTGTGTTGAGAACTGTGGTGCAGAATCCACAAACCATATCATATTATGAAATCTCTTGTGAAGACCAGTTTTCAGTTCCCAAATTAGGCCTGGGCTCTACTTCATTTTCAGCCAGGGGTGCCCAAACTTTTTGTTGTGGTGGGCCAATACAAAAGATACACAAAGTATATTTTGTTACTAACTACTTCAAAAATACAATTTCAGAAGGAAAAGATAGAAAACATGTCATATATATATATTTTTTTTAAATATAGTTCTCTTATTAGGTGAGGTGGAGGAGTTAGGGTAGCTTTCTGGTGGGCCAAGTTGAAGTAAAACATCCTCACGAGCCAACTTTGGCCCACAGGCCACACTTTGGGCAGCCCTGCTTTAGGCTCTATACAGTGTCATAAAGTCTGCATATCTAATACTGTATCTCTGTCCCACATGGCCTTTGCCATGCCCTTCAACCCCCCCCGCCCCCCCACCTCCCATCCTGCAGGCGACTGTGATCTTCCACACTCATAAATCTCATCTGGTTGGTCCTTACGTTCGCACTTCATTGGGTAGCTGAGTTATCAGTGTTGGTGATAGTGCACAGACATAGCATCCTGTTCTAGCATGTTCACACCATGTGTGGATGGGTGGAACCACCATCTCCAGCGCTTTCAGAGATCCCACTGTATCCGGTGTGGGCCCCTGCTCGATTGCTCCAGGCCAGCCCCACCCCCGTCTTTTATGCTGGGGCCGGGCAGCTGGTTTCAATGGAATGTACCTTCAAGTGCTGGCCCAGCTCTGATAATGCGTCTATTGCCAGGACGATAAAGCAGAAGCCACTGAAAGACCCTCCCAGCGGGTGGGCTTCAAAGCAAGGGAGGAAATACAACAAAGAGCTTAACCTCTGGCCTTTCCACCTTACCGCACCCACATTCCACAGCCTGGACAGAGACCGGGGTAGAGACCGCAAACATGTCTTTCCCTGAAGCTGTGGATGACAAACAGCCCAAAGAGATAACATGGGGGCGAGAATATTGATCCAGGAAGAGCAACTTTTGAGACCATTTAAATTCCTGAAACAATAAGCTACACAGATTTCATTGTAAATGTTATATAATAGTCGTGTGAAATCGATTTAACACCTCAATATCTAAATGTACTGTTCAGTTATTAATCTACTGTGAGCTATTAACTACTATTAGAGCTATTTATACTCATAATGTACTTATTATATATACTTATGCATTTATATTCTTATCAACTATTAGAGCTATTTATACTTATTATGTACATATTACATACACCTATATATTTATACTATCATTAACTACTACTAGGGCTATTTATGCTTATAATGAACTTATTATAAATATTTACATATTTATGCTATCATTAACTACTATTAGGGCTATTCATACTTATTATATCGCTGCTGTCTGAACAATACCTTGTACCTCCAAAATGAAAGAAGGCAAAAAAAAATAAATTAATGTAAGTCGATGTAACCAAATTTTTTTTCCAAGTAATTTTTGGTCATTTCTTTTGGTCCATTCATCTTGAAATTTACACATAATGTAAAGGGCACCAGGCATTTTCAAATGATGTCAAAAACGGAAAAATGACCAAAATGGAGATACAAGGTTTGTTCGGACAGCAGCGATATACTTATTATATATACTTATATATTTATACTGTTATTAATTGCTATTAGGGCTGGGCGGTAGTGAAAAAAATCAATATCAGGATGGTCTCATAATATTAGTGATGGCAGAAACAAGCAAGACAATCTTGAATGCTTTTTTCAAAGCAAAGGTTTCAAAACAGTTCATAAGACACATCATTCTGGGTTGGATTCAATCTGCACCAATCAGAATTCCTTGTGCCTCTACACTGTGTCTTATTCCAGTGTACAGCTGACAAAGCACTGTTGCAAGTAGCAGGTACTTCCATGATATTCATACTACTTGTTTTCAGTGTTTAACTTTTTAGGACAAATTCTCAGAAGCAGTTGCTGAATGTCACTAATAAATAAGCTTAATAATCTTCATGATTCAACACATTTAACTAAGGAAGCTCTAGAAAACAGAAGTGGGCCAATCTAACAATCAGGGGTGAAACTGAATGCACTGGGCTTTCAACAGCACTGTCAGTTTATACAGCACATATCAACATTGTTGATAACATTAGGGATGTGAAATCAGGTCATGTGCAAAAATCAGGTTTCGAAACCTTGAATCAGACTGAATCGGCTACTCATTTTGCTTGAATGTTTCTAATGAGTCAGAATGAGCATCACTACCAAACATATCACAGTATCAAAACATGAGATCATATTTATGTAAGCACATTTGCATGGATAAGGATCATGAACACATGCTACCGTGCTAAAAATGCTTTACAAAACTGACATTGCTTGTTTTGACTGGACTGTTTTTACTCATAGTGTTTCAATTTTATATCTTTTCTACAGTCTATCAAACTAATTGAAGGCACACAGCAAAAGACATTTATATATTGGCATAGATGATATATCGTCCAGCCCTAACTATGAAACTACTACAGTGTAAGGCATGTAATTTGTAGAATGAGGAGGATAAGGATGTATGCAGCTGTGAACAGAACCAAAGAGTTTATTAAAAGGTATGAAGTGTGTATTACTACATCTTTTGTCATGGTCATTAAAATGCTATAAGATGGAATTACAGGTTGTCTTAAATGTGTCCTATATTTGGCGGACTTCATCTAGATGCACAGATTTTCTCACATATGAAATTCAGCTCACTGGTTTATTGAGAAGAACTTATTAAATGCTTAATTTGTCCTGTAGCACTGCTGGTGATCTGCACCTTCCAAATGAATGACGCCAGTTTGTTCGCTTGCCAGGTAAACCGTTTTATTCAAGTATGTCAACTTCCATAACTTACTATACATCAAATGATTACTAGTGCAGGTCTGGGCTCAAATACAACAGACAGCGGCAGACTTTGATATAATAGAATAATTATATACAATACAATGATTAAAAACATGCCACACTTGGTCAACAGATCACCATGCAAGATGGACTTACAGCCCCTGCATTGCTCTGTTTCCTCTCACTCACACACTCTTGACAGCACACACTCAAACTTGTCTGTACATCACAGAAGGCAGAAAAACGCAGGTCTACTGTCTATCAGTACACCAAAGTGTGAAACTATACTCCAGTTCACCCTGGTTTTCAAATGCCACTTCACAGCACTGAGAGGATGCCTATAGGAAAAGCCTGCTAAAGTGCAGTAAGTCCTCCCAACCACACGGGGGTGATGTGGCTCATCCACTAAGACGGACACATATGGTCATAGTGAAGTTCGGAGCAGCTGAGGCCCATCAAGGAAGGTAGGATGGTAACAGAGAGGTGACGGGTTTGATTGGTGCAACCTCTTCTAGCCTCAGAAGGTCTGTCTTCATACTTCACAAAGGATGACTGGGAAGTCAACATGAATTCTCGGATGATCCAGTTTCACGATTCCCTGGAAACAAGAAATCTGCTCATTAATCCTGAAAATAAAAAAAACTGTGTAAATTTCTATTGGTGTGTTAAGAGCTTTTCACACAGCAAGCCACACTTGCATGATCCACATTCATTTTCAGCAGAGGTGGGTAGTCAGGCAAAGTGGCGTGGGCCGAGTGGAAGGTGGTGCAACAAGTGAGCTGGAATCCAACTTATACCTGCCTGTTTTCAACTTTTGAAGATTATGCTAACATTAGCCAAAAAAAATCACAGTTTTTGTGTAGAGTCTCATCCTTAAGTTGGTTTCCTGCTGCTTTCAATACTTATTTTCATTGCTTTTTGTGATTTTTTGTGTTTTAAATAGTAGCGCAATCTAAGCTAAATAGTGGTAGCTGTCATAACATTGCAGTCACCATGGTGATGGAGATTATAAATTTAGTTTATAAATTAGTAATTTTAATCATTTGGAATTCCCTTTCCAGCTAAGCAAACTTATGCACCAAACCTATATTACTTGTAATGTTTCACATAACAGAATACAGTCCATCAAACAGGCAAAGATGACGGCTGACCACAGTAAGCAAACAAGCTTCTCTTAATTAGTTGTGTTATTGTAAAACGTGCCTGTACCAGCGACGGCCAAAGCAAAAAGACGTCATCTTCAGGGAGCTATTTGTAGAAGAAAAGTGCTTTGTATGTACAGTTATGTGCAAAGGTCTGGTCACCCTTTTCCAATTGTGGGGGCAGTCGTGGGCTGGAGCTTAGGGAACCAGCCTTGTGACCGTAAGGTTGCCGGTTCGATCCCCTGAGCCGACAGTACGTGACTAAAGTGGCCTTGAGCAAGGCCCCTAACCCCCAACTGCTCCCCGGGCGCCATGGATAGGGCTGCCCACCGCTCCGGGCAAGTGTGCTCTCTGCCCCCTACTGTGTGTGCATTCACTAGTGTGTATGTGGGCGTTTCACTGCACGGACGGGTTAAATTGCAGAGGTGAAATTTCCTGTTGTGGGACTAATAAGGGCCACTTATATATATAAAAAAAAATTAAGGGTCACTTTTATTATGTTCTAAATGAAAATAAGCACATCTGAGAGAAAGAACACACATCTGCACATTTTAATGCACAATTATTGTGTATTCAACATGTATTTATTAGGAAGTTACTGTGTAATAAGTTAAACTCAGCAAATAACCAGAAATTATGCACTAAAATGTGCAGAAAAATGCTATGTTTGTTTGTTTGCTGTAGAAAATACTGTACTAGATTAAAATACTGTACTAGACTTAATGTAATAACTGATGAGCTTTGGTGATGATCTCACACTGCTTTTCCAGTGTCTCTCTGAAAACTTCTGAAGCATGAGATATACTTAACAGCAACAGATTCAAATTTGCATAGTGGAAACACTCAGAGTAAAGCCCATTTCACACTAGATGTGATGCGGTGTTACTGGTAAGCCAGACCCACTCTGCGACATGTATTTCACACCAGCCGCGACACATGCGCATCACAAAGTGGTTTTTGTTTCCACTGCATTTTCACGTAATACAAATGTCTGTATTGTCCCTTTTTTACTCATACAAACCTTATTGTATATCATATAAAGAGAATAACAATAAAAACCTGACTTGCCGCAATGACCGTTGCTACTTTCTCACCATGTGATGTACAGCTATAGAAAGAGGCAGAGATGTATGTGGGTTCACAGCTTTAACCTACAGAAGTGATTCCTATCACCGCGTTAACAAGTTAAAACTACATTTGTTGTGCCTACATTGTATATTATGGCAAAAACACTCCACTTCTTTACTGTTTCTGACTAGAAACTGCTAGAATGCCACAGGCGGCAAGTGTCAAAAACAGACCATTAGCCATAGCATATTTTTGCACTTCGTGTGCATGTTACCACCACCATGGCTCAACTGACGTCAAGTGTCTGGTGTGAAATTGACTTAAGTCAGGATTTAGCCCTATGATTTTTACTGAAAGAATCCAGTACGATCCTGAATTTATTAAGCAATTTCTAATCTCTAATGAAGTTCCATGCTACCTGAGGTATGAGGTTCTTCTGGATCCTCTTCAGCTTGGCCTTCTTTCGTCCATTTTTGGTCACCACTGTCTCCTCGTAGAACTCGTGAGCCAGATCTCCATCCTCATCGTAGTACAAGGAACTGCAAGAACACAACAGCTTTTGAATTCTCATGTGTTCTTTACTATCCAAACTTGTCTAAACAAAGGTCTACCACAGTTTTCCTTTACATGTGAACTAGGGATGCACAGTGACATGCGGATCACATCGGCATCATGAGATAATTGCTTTAAAAAAAGATTAGCATCAGACATATGTTTAGATTTGACTGATACTTTGAATATTTGACGATGTATTTGTTGTACTCTGGAAGAGCAGTGTGTTTAGGTGATGATGGGCTGCTGTGTAAAAATATCTGCATTTTATGAATTTGACTGCATTTGTATTTGTGACCTGCTACAAATAAACACTCTGTTTCTCTGTAATGCTAATCCAGGTTAACGTAGTCCCAATTCCTATGTTATATAAATATTTATGTATCTGTATAGGCAGATTTGTATGAAAAATATTGGATATTAACATCTCACAATTTCTACATTGGTGCATCCCTAATACAAATTCATAATACGTTTATGCTTATCATGTTCAAAATACATTTCCACACCTTGTACCTAACATTTGCCAATTACTTGTTATCAATAGCACATTAAAAACAGATGCAAGACCTAGTTAGTAGTAAATAATCCTTAATCATTCTTAAGTTAATGTGAGAGCTATTATGTGATTTCTATTGTGACCTACTACAAATAAACACTCTATTTATCTGTAATACTAATTCAGGTTAATGTAATCCCAATTCCTACATTTTCTAAAAGTTTATGTATCTTTTATATAGATTTTAACATCAGCCCACAATTTCTATTTTGGCGCATCCCTAATACAAATCCATAATAAGCTTATACTCATTATACTCAAATTACATTTCCACACCTTGCACCTAACATTTGCCAACTACTTGTTATCAGTAGCACATTAAAAAACAGATCTAAGACTTCCTTAGTAGCTAGTCATAATCCATAATCATCCTTGAGCAAATGTGAGAACTACTGTGTGATTTCTGAAGGTAGGCAATTCTGACATATTTTATGAAAACAGCTATTTAGTCAAAGTAATACTTGCCTTCTCCTTGTAAAGACAAAAGGGGTTGCGTTTTTGGAGCCACGGAGTCGGGCCAAAGACTGCTCATTGACCTCACCAGGAGAGTCTCCACTGGCCCCTGAGCCAGAGAAAGGCCAGACTCCTTTTGCTTTGGATCCGCTGCCACCCATTTTCAGTGAAAGGACATTATTCAATGGGATGGACAGGTACACACCAGGAGATTTCTGTAGCTCAGGCCTGAAAGAAATAAAGTCCATGCAGTAGTTAAGCTACACACCAAAACCATATTGCCCTACTGGATTAAGCTTGTTGCTTGTGGTGTGGCTTCAAAGCACCACTGTGGTTCTTCTAGCTATCTTTAGTTAATGCCAGAGACCACAACGGCAGGTTCTCATTACAACCCCAACAGAAGTTTCTGTAAGGCTAACGATACAGTCTTCAGTATATAAGCACACTTGATGAAGTGTTACAAAGCACAGACCAGTATTTCTGCATGATCTTCCCAATCTTATCTTGGCAGGGTTACATGCTTTCTGTGCACTGACACACCTTAGGCATGTTCCCATAAAACATTTATAAGCTACTAATGAGCTGAAGCAGGTTAGTTACAGTAAAGAAAACGTGATACAGTGGTCTCTTACTCTATTAAGTCAATTAATGAACATACTGTGTGAAACAGCAGAATCAGTAGAAAGAACGAAACTATTTGGTTAAAATAACATAGCTGTGTAATTCTGGTTTTACTGGTTTTACCATCAGAATCTCTAATGTAGTCTTATTATGCCCAAATACGACAGGCAAAGCTCTACACCAAACCAACCCAGCAAATATAGAGGTTTGGCTTCAATAGCACATCACAGGCAGACAGAGTAAACCGAAGAGCACAAGAGTAAGCACAGCTGGCCCCGACATTTCTTTGCTGACAAAACACTGGCTCTTTAAACACACAGGGCCCATATTCCTGAAGCTTTGCAGAGCAGAAGTGCTGATCTAGGATCTGTTCCTGTTAGTATGGCCACTGAAAATAAGAGAGGAATCTGATCCTAGATCAGCACCAACAGAGCAGCAGCCCTGACTAACGTTTCTAATTGTTTTGTGAGGCCGGTGAAAATAAACCACAATGTCTACATCAATGCTGTACAGTAAACCTTCTTAGGCACTTCAACTACTATTTTTGTGTTTCATTGTGCAGAAATATTTTAAGCAAATTTTAGTCAGAGTGATGAGAAGATTTCCATATTTGCAGGTACTTTGCATGATAAGTATTAATGTTTTTGTTATTTTTTTATATTTTAAAGGGATATTTAATGCAAATTAAATGGCCTATTTCCAACATGTAGATGGGTAAACAAATTCATCTAACATCTTTTGCCTATAGATGCAAATAAACCAAACCTCTGTCCTTCGATAGAAGTAAACCATGCACCTCTCTCTTTTGGGATGGGAACAAGGAGTCTATGATTGACAGAGCATTTATTATATTAAAAAACGTACTATATGTCTAATACATACCTTTTTAAACAAGCCTGTCATCATGCATTCGATTTTTACCAGCTAACTCTCAAAATTTTGGAAGTAAAATGTCTGTAGTAGATGCTAAGTGCAAAGCCAAACTGTCTGCTTGTATTAAATCTGACAAACGTCTTGTTAAACCAGACTTACGGTAGTTTGTGTAGCTACATTAGCTAACTAATCCATATCAAGCATCTCACTGTGATGACATGGAAAATACACACTTCGATGTTTCTTCAAGGGTTCTTTAGAAAAGGTAATGGTTCTGTTTAGGCCCATGAGTTCTATACAGAACCATTTCAGTTCTTTATACTGATAAAGAATGTGTTGTATATGGTTCCATGTAGAACCTTTTTTGAAAATGGATCCATATAGCACCAAAAAAAGGCTTCTTCTATTGTTGCAAGCCTAACATCATCACAACAGAACCCTTGTTGATACTACATAGAACCATTTTCAAAAAGGACCATATACAACACAATCTCCATCAATCTGAAGAACTACTTCACCTCGCAAAGAACCATTTAAGCATGAAACGGTTCTATATAGAACTTTAGAACTATGGTTCTAAATAGAACCACTGTCTTTATTAAAGAACCATCTTTTTAAGTGTGTAGTAAAGAAAGAGCACTTCTTCTCTCTTTCCTCCACTTTCACATGGAACCCCACACTGTTTATGAGCTATTCTAATGCTAACTGCATGACATACCTTAGACTAACACTGGTGAACCTACACGAAGCCAAAGTCAGGTTATTATTCGAGTTTTCCCGTTCCACCTTAAACGTTGCAGCAGTTCATGCTGCATCATTTAAGGTGGAACGGGAAAATTCGAACAAGAAGCTGGGGAATTGGAAGCCAACTTCAGCCTCGTTAAACCGACGGTGTATCTACGACACACACACACGTTGCTGTTGATAATCTAACCTTAATTAAAACCAAATCACTCCACCAAAACTATATATTTTCAGCTGCTGTTTCACGAGGAGCACAGCTAACAGTGCGATAACTAAAGCGAGCTGGCTGAAAAGGCAGCTAACGCTACGTTACAGCGCAGCTTTTCAGTGTAAACAAAACAGAGAGGCTCGCTAACGACTAGTTAGGAATGAAGAGTTTGTCCCTTTGTACAGCCTGATGGTTGCGGACATGCTCCTCTCACACCTCAACGCAAATAATCCGCAGTGTCGTACGTACTGTACTTATAAACGACATGGCTGCGTCTCGGCCAGTTTTCGTGTTTACACCGCCGTCCCGTTTCGCGAAAGCCCCCTCTGCAGCGCCATATTAGCTCCTGCGTTCTTCCTGTACAGGACACGCCCACTCCCGAACACAGAGACGTGATTGGAGCGCGAAAAGCTGTAGGTGAGCTGTGATTGGACGTTTCGTTTCTCAAGAGGGTTTAGCGGCTGTCATTAACCGGTGGATGTTCCACAGTTTTAAAGGACTCCATCCGGAAATCTGTTATGTGGCTAAATATGCGCAGAAATCATAAAGTGTCATTTCAAAATATATGTACATACATTATATGTAAGTATATGTAAGTATCAAGTATTGGAGATATATGTATAATTATGTGTCTGATATGTCTTATGTGTCTTATATGCTATGTAAATATGCAAATAGATATACTTCTGTTTCTACTCTCTCATACTTTACTCGTGTATTTTTTTTTATTTTTGCCCAATTTACGTCTATTTTTATGTCTCTTTCTATATCTATCCATCCATCCACCCATCCGTCCATCCGTCCATCTATCTATCTACCTATATAACATGAACAAAAAAAAGGTCTGGTTCCAATTGACTTCCATTAAAAGTAAGGAAGGTTTTTTCCTTCTCCTGTAAAATTACCATTTTGGAGATACAAGGTTTTGTTCCGACAACAGCGATATGGAACATATATGAACATATATATCTATGATATATGGATCACATTTATACTCTCTGTCTGATACATATGTCTGATAAATGGATAAAAGCACAGTGGATGACTTGGTTTAATCTCAGCTATTTAATCATTCCGTAATTTTAAAACATCAGCAGAATACCCCTTTAACGGTGAAGTTTACAAGGGTACAAAAAATGTTCAGCTTCACAAATAACTGATCCTTCATCCATCCATCCATCCATCATCTAAACCGCTTATCCTTCTGGGTCGCGGTGGGCTGCTGGAGCCTATCCCAGCTGTCATTGGGCGGAAGGCAGGATACACCCTGGACAGGTCGCCAGTCCATCGCAGGGCAGACAAACAGACATACACATTCACACCTAGGGGCAATTTAGCATGTCCAATCAGCCTGACTGCATGTTTTTGGACTGTTTGGAGGAAACCGGAGTACCCGGAGGAAACCCACGCAGACACGGGGAGAACAGGCAAACTCCACTGATCCTTCAATGTTATTATTCTTTGAACTTACCACAAAGCAGTCAAACAAGTATTAATTTAGTCTTACTGTATAACAGCTTAGGTGACTCAGCATTAAAGGGGAAAAAATTGCATAAGTTCATCTTTATGATGTAAACAAAGTCATTTAGAATGCTTTGATATGAGAGAAAGTTACAGACTCAGATTTCTTTACAGTGGTGGTGATATGAACCAGAAGTCACCATGTCTATAACACAAATATAGCCATTTTATTTATTATACAAAACCACCATTTTCAATAATACCACTTATACCACTGACTAAATAGCTGCAGAGTTCAAACCTCCTCTGGCTTTAACATCAACACAAAAACTGAGCGCCGAGAGCTTCATGGCATGGGTTTCCATGGCCGAGCAGCTGCATGCAAGCCTTACATCACCAAGCACAATGCCAAGCATCGGATGGAGAGGTGTAAAGCACGGCACTGGACTCTGGAGCAATGGAAACATTCTGTGGCATTTTTTAAACAGCCAAAAACGCCAGTTGCTCAGGGTGAAGGTGCAATACAGGTTAGTATGCACCAAAAAACAAAGAAGACGCAATTCTGTCAGTGTGAGAAAAGGCCTTCCAGTTGAGGAGGAGGCCTCAGCAAGCGGACCAGAGTAACCCTCCTAAAGTGATGCACAAGTGTTCAAAAGTGCCAGAAGAGTCAACACAAACAGTGTAGGAGTGTAACGCTGGAAATGAAAAAGAGGCAAGTGCACGTTTTTATTGAAATTCATAACAAAATCCACAAAAGTAACAAAAAAGAAAAGAAGAAAAAAGACTGAGGATCTAAATACTAAAACAGAAAGAAAACAAAAGACTAAGGGGCAAGAAGGAAACCAACACAGAACAGTGAAAACACAAAACAGGGCCTGAGAAACAAAACATCAAGCAAACAAGACAAACAACCAGAGGTACACAGAGCCATTTCTGAACATTTGGGGGACAGAGAAAGGCCAAAACAACAATAAAAGCACATGGCAAGACACACGAGAGAAGGTAAACAATGGCAACACAGACAGAAACAACGAGAGGCAGGGCAAACAGGATGTTACAGGAAGCTGAAAGAATTATTCAGTAAATTATTACATTTATCATCCCAGATGATGGTTTACATTACATAAGGTCTTTGTCATAACTAAAATTGCTCCTGTTTAAGTCCTCATAACTGTGCTGTTTTCAGTTTTAGCCTTTATACGTAAGAACTAAGAACATTTTAGGTTTACCTTTATTTTCCGTATTTTAGAAATGTTAAACCTTTAAATATAAATGTAAAACCACTCTGTTAGGGTACCAGTTTATGGGGTGAAGAAATGGAGACTCACCCTTCTCAGAAATATTTGCTCTGCATAAGCTTCACCACTGCGATTGAGGTATGTGTTTTTCTACATGCCTAAATATATCAAATCATTCAGTACTTAGAAATCTGAAAGGATTTTTTTATACCTCGAAAGTTCAGTCTCAGAACTTACATTTTCTGCTTTCCATGATTCAACTAATCCTCAAAACATTCAGTGATACTGAGGTCTGGGGTGGACGGTCATTGCTTGCAGCTTCTTTGTTTGATTTGTAATTTTCCACTTTTTTGTCTATTTCCTTTTCTCAGTGAGGGCTTCTCAGCAGCTACACATCCAGACCCACAGCATTGTCTCCTCACAGTGGAAAGATGGATATCAGTGAATTTTTTCAGATCTGAAGCAACATCTCACACAGATTCAAAGTACTGATGCATCAATACCATGTTTTTCAGATCAAGTACATGTTTTAACCCTTTCAGGCACACATACAGAATTTCTTTCGAAATACCAGATTTGTTGATAAGAACAAGTTACAAACCATTAAACTAAACTAGATTTTGGGTGAGATTTTTTAGGTTCAGGGTCAAAGGTCATTTCTGAGGTGGTTTCTCGGAGTAACCACTGTGCGCTAAGGGGGCTGACTATGTCATTTACGTTTTTCATGTAATACTCAGCTTGATCTCTGATTTCATTGTTTTGTTTCAATTTTTGTGACGAAGGTAAAGTCAGTTCTTTGGCTGATGCACAGCCCAACACTGCACTCTGTGCACATCCGTTTTGTGTAATGCAAACCTTTCTTAGTGCGGCACTCGGCATATTGTCTTGATGTGCTTTACACTGGGAGATGAGCAGCTTCAGATTTGTGCTTCTCACTTGATATGTATGGTTTTTAGTGTGGGAACTGTCTTGCTCTTCTGTCAGCTGACAGTCTTAAGTCTTTACAGAATGTGTACATTTACAACTGGGTCCTTGCCCTGGTCACTTTCACTACCTCTGTCATTTTTATTTCCCTGGATTCCATAACTGCCCTGATCTCCCTTATAATCCTTTCGACTGCTCTCACTCTTACTGCATGAAGAATCTGATGGAATGCCTTCCAGCAACAGTCTTACTACCTCCTCAGCACTCATTTAGGTTTTCCATGATGCACTATGATATACAATATAAATCAAATTAGCTCTGTGAAATATCTCTAGTTTTGAATAAACACAATGTTCTACTATAGGCACAATGTCTTTCACCATTTCTCCATGTGATTATGTGTTTGTCCTAAATGCACTGTGGTTACTTTGGGAAACCACCAATTTTTTAGCCATGTGACCATCTACTTCACTTACATTCACAGTGGTTACTAGGCAAAACCATAACAATGTAACTATGTAACAGCTTTATAATCATTTTGATGGTATGCTGACTTATAATAGGGAGAATGGCATCTCTGTCACTGCCACTCCAAACCTGAAACGCCTGCTGTAGTGCTATGTAACTATGTAACCTCTCACAAGAACTGCATTAACACTTTGCAGCACCATGTCCGGTCTTCAGCTAACTATAAGAAGGAGTCGTATTGGTATTGATTATTAATTAAAAGTGTGACCTCTGCCAGAAAATAAAAGCTAGAAAAACTGCTCTTCTGCTTCAGGATTATTGTTCAGGATTTCTTTTTTGTTCTTAGGATCTTAGGATCATTGATATAGTTTGGTATTTGTAATCAAGTTGTAATCAGGTTTAAACACTGTCAACTACTCAGCTATAAAAATGTATACACTCTGTATGACAAATGATTATAAGTGACTCTTCTGAATCTTCTTTTAACACATCTTACTAATGGAGAGCCAATTTCATATGTTGTAGCTGCATTATGTTCTTTGTAGTGATGGATCTAGAATCTAGAAGAAATTCTGCAAAAAAAGGTAAAAGCTTCAGCAGCAGGGGTGCCATACAAACCCATTATTTAACAGTAATCGCATGTTTTCTCAACGATGGTAAAATTTCTGAAAAATGACACTCAATTTAATTTTTTAGGATTACTGCCTTTTATCATAATTCATCGGTTTCCCTAGTTCAACTAGTTATTGCCATACAGTATTTTACCATAATAATAACAAAAAACGACCATTTAAACAAACACAAATGTCTGTAAAATAAGTGATAATTTGTTTTTGTGAACTGACATTCTATTTCTGTAAATTAACAACAGCAGTGTTAAAATACAGTATATATATGGTTTATTTACATGCACTTCCATGTTTTTCAAAAAACAGGGATTAACTATGAAATTTTACAGTACTTTCAAGTGAAAATACTTTTTATTTACAGTGCAGAGGTGGCTGGCAGGGTGGCATGTTCATGAAGCACCTGGGTCTGTTTAGTACTGATTTATATAGTAAACAATCTATTCTATTCACTGAGCACTGAGCAAAATAAAAAAAGCAAAACAACAGCAACCAACAATACATACATCCTTAAAAAAGATGGTTCTTCAAGGATTCTTTAGTAAAGGCAATGCTTCTGCTAAGAACCATGAGTTCTATATAGAACCATTTCATGCTTAAATGGTTCTTTGCATGGTGGAATTGTTCTTCAGATTGATAGAAAATGTGTTGC